CAACTCCTACCGCCACTTTTCCACACTCGCTATATTTACTTTATTGTTTCTTTATCTAAACAGCCCCTACTTTTTATTTACGTAATCTTTATTATCTTGCAAACCTATCGAACAACACCTACAAAGTACTTCTAGTTTCATACTTGTTCTAGGTAAAGCGAACGTCAAGCGTGCGTAGAGTTGTATGGGTGGTCGATAGAACTTGAGGGAATATTTGTTCTACCTTTAGCTCCTCGTTGGGTTCGACACTCTTACTTATTGAAAACTGTTGTGATCCCCTATGCTTGTGGGTTATCAATGCATAGCTTTGTTTTCAGTACTTTTCAAAGCAGTTCACCGATGATTACCTCTCAAACCACCTGCATGGTCAAGAGACGAGGAAGGTATTCATTCAACACCCACGGTACAATATTGAAGTATTGCTGAAGAGGATGAAGGTTGGGCGGGAAATTATCCATAGCCACTGGCCTAAAGTTGTAAGGACATTCAACATCACTAAGGCTCAATATTTACCTTCTGCTTCTGCAGTTTCCTAGATGAGATTCATCTATCTATTTACCGTGTATGATGCTACTTTTCAAAGGTTTTTGATGCTACATGTGAAACTTGGTGCTGTTGTGTAATGGCGTAACTGAGTGCCGAAGCTATCTGATGTAATTCGATTATGAAATCTTGGTTGCTTTTATACGGATATGAAATATCTGGCGTGTTTTATAAGAAATATCAGTTTGATTACTACATGGATTATCAATAATAGGCTAATTACCCTGCTTATTGGGGTTTTCTATTGCAAACGGTTACTCAGACAGCACCGTGGGCGATGAACTCAAATAACCCGCACGGTTTCTAGAAAGTAGGCGTGTTCGATCAACTAACAATCACACACGGCTTCCGGCAGTGATCTGTTTGCGTTAGGCCACCTTGCACAAACGTTTCCACACAAAGAACTGTGTGTGATATACATACCTATAGAAATGTTTTTCTTGGATTCACCGTGTGGGATGTACATACCTACGGAAATGATTTTCTGGGATTCACTGTGTGGGATGTACATACCTACAGAAATTATTTTCTCAGATTACCGTGTGGGATGTACATACCTACGGAAATGATTGGGTTTCGATGCCTCGCCCGATCGCACACGGCCCCAGCCTGGGTCCCAGGAGGGCCTATCCCCGACAATTTCTGGGTCATGTGGGAAGGACACCCTATCGCACACACTCACTTGGCGACGGTTCCAAATGCCGCCGCGGAAAGGGGTTAAAAACCGTTTGTTTAGGACGTCGCCATACCAATGCCTCTTTATTCCCAGGCATGCCATGACAACCACTTGCATGGTGGCCATGCAGTAGCCATGGTTTTCCACTCGAATATTTAAATATTGTGTGTCGGTTAATATTTTGTGAATGCTTTATATATATGCTTGTGAATCCATGCTTATCTTTATGTTCTTTGCACCTATTAGTTAAATGATTACATGTTGATGTTATTATCATGTTTTATTATGCTATTATTTCCTGATGCTAGTGGTCATGCTATGTTCTTATGTAGTGTTGTTATTGTGTTATTCATTGCTATGCCATGCTCATGTGCATCTGGTAGGGTAAATGAATTACTGTTGCTGATTTGTTAAATAGTGATGTGGTTCATCCATGCTCATGTTGATATCATGCTCATATGCATTGTTATTTCAAGTTAAACCAGACATTAATCAAACTTGAACGCATGTTGGCTGAGTCATAGTGCCATTGAAATCAAACTGACTAGTGCAACCACACTTGCTTTATGGGGGCTCCTATTTGGGTCTATGGTCGTGCCTCTCGCCGGTGCCTCCAACTAGGGAAGGTTATGGGCACGCGCTACCCTGATCAGGTAGGCGGACATAAGCCTTGTGTGCCCATGTTGGTATTGAGCTCATGTCCGCGTTTGGGATCATTTTGTTTTGCCATGACGGTGGTTGTTGGATGTCACGCGGTGACATCGGGGCCACCCATGACTTGGCCCAAAGGGGAGTTGGTCAAAGTGGCCGGGAGAGCGTCATGGCAGTAGATCGGTTTTGTCGGAACGTCGTTGGTCCACCCGAATTGGAGCACGAGGCCTTGGGTTCCGTGGTGTGGGTACAGTGTGCTAACCTCTACAGAGTGTGTTTAATCTATAGATAGCCGTGCCCGCGGATAAGGGCCCAGTTCGTATTAGGTCACACTATGGGTCAATAGTAATAAAAACCTGACTAATAAACAACCCCGGTTTGATGAGAAAAGAAGTTGGTTGATCTTTATGTGGTCACGGGAGGATCACGATGGTATTCTTGATATTGATGAGGTGATCTTGTGAGGATCATGATGGTATTCTTAATATTGATAAGGTGATCTTTTGAAGATCCCAATGGTATTCTTGATAATGATTGAAGTGATCCCGTGACCATGATGGTAACTAAGAGTGGCATATATTTGGTGGTTACGCGGTAACTCCGAACAGAGTAAGTGATATTTGTAGCATGTTGCATGCTAGTACCATCGTTGTTCATGTCTCGAGTAATATGTTCATGCCATGTTGATAATGTTCTAGCGGTATCATGTTCATCTTGTACATGCCATGTTGTTCTAGTTGTATCATTCTGATGCTTGTTTAACTTGTAAATGCCATGATGTTGTTTGTCTTGATTGCTTCAGATTGTTGTGAGCTTGCAAGTACATTCAATGTACTGACCTAGCATGTCATGCCAGTTTGCAGGTCATGCTTTGTCTTCTTATTGGCGTGGATCCCTTGTTGGCGAGCGAGGATCAGCGTTCCAGCCAGAGTCCCTGCGGAGTGGAGTCCATCACTGTCGTTGTTATTCCGCTGCTAGAAGTTGTTCCGCTGCTATGAGTTGTTCTGCTGCTAGCATAGAGCAACCTTGGTAGGCGAAGTGTCACCGTGCCAATGTAATTCTTGGTTATATCGGAACCCTTGTATCCCCGAGTATTTGTAATAAAGAGCTAATTTGTTCTATGCCAAGCAGTGCCATATTCCAGAAGACTTGATCTCTAGGCTGGAAGATGGGGTGTTTCGGTCTCTCTGAGCCGGGGTGCCAGAGTGTTGTCAACGCTGAAGAATATTTGAAGATGCGGGATAAAAAGAGGAAGGTGGAGAATGAGCTCGGATTTTTTAAATCAGACTTTGCTAATATGGAGTTGGCGAAGGAGGAGGTACTTTCCCAGTTGGCCAGTGCAAAACAGGTTCTTACTGAATTGAAAGCAGAGGTGGATAAGACGAGACTGGATGATCTCGATTAGGGAAATGAATATATTGTTCTAATATTGTTCTTATGAAGGTGAACTAGCTATATGTAGTATCGTGCTGTTTTCAGGTAGCTATCGTACTGTGATGTTAAAATATATTTATGTGCCTGATATGAAATTGGCAAATAGCTGTTCAATATGAAATGAATTTTCATAATACTGGAATTGTTAATTATAAACTAATAAACCTGCTAAATGGGTCATGGAACTTTGCAAACGGTTCACCTATCACACACGAGCCTATACATAAAAGTGTGTGGGATGTATATATGAATGGAAATGTTTTCCCTAGATTGATTGTGTGGGTTGTACATACGAACGGAAACGTTTTCCCTGGATTGACTATGTGGGATGTACATAAGAACAGAAACATATTCCTTGGATTGACTGTGTGGAATGTACATAACAAACGAAAACGTTTGTTTGGGACTGACTGTGTGGGATGTACTTACGACCGAAACCGATCGGGCGTGTATAATCGTATTTGATCGCTCGCCCATCGCACACGACCTCATTTTGCCGAGCATGTGTGCCAAGAGGGCCTATCCCCGACGATTTTTGGGTTGTGTGCGAAGGACCCCCCTATCGCAGTCACTCACTAGGCGACGGTTCACAACACCGTTGTGAAAAGGGGTAAAAACCATTTGTATAGCACCTCGCTGTACCAGTGGTACCTTCCCTGCCGGTTCCTTCCCCACTGGTCTCGGCGCCGCCATCTGTGCTAGTGCCATCAGTGTCGATGTCGACATCAGTACCATCATCGAGGCTTCCCTGCAAACCTTGACTGTGCTTAGTAGCCAAAAATTCGAGGTAGTCATGTTCACCCTCATAATCCATCTTGTCTGCATCGTGGTCAGAAGGCCCGGTTTCATCGTTGTTTGACATGTCCTATGATTAAGTCTCCTCATTTAATTCATAACTATAGTAAAATGAGTAATGACATAAAAAAGGTCTATGGTTTGATGGAATGTCGTTTCATTCCCGTCGCAGCAAATCCCGACACTCAATATGCCTACTTTCTAGCACAATGTGACACCCCAAGATCGGAGCTTCAGATGCCTTCCAGGGTTTCCGAGATTCGTTGTGTGTTTTGTTTTTGCTTATTGCATTCATCATTGCATCATGTGCATTGCATCATGTCATCATGTCTTTAATCTTTCCAACTCAACTAAATAAACTGTATGGATCTTCGATCTATTTAAATTGAGGGAACTCACATGGTGGTTTCTCTTTAAAACATACCCTCCCGATATTTAGGGAGATATTATAAAATATTCCATTGTTTTGGAATTACCCTTGAACCCACTTGCATATTAAATCCCTTAGCCTTTTCTTCGTCAAGTTTTGACTCTCTGGCCTTGCTAATATTTTCTTTTACCATTTTCCGGAGCTCCACCTAAATTCTCAACATTTTTGGGCACTTCAAAATCCTACCCCTTGTTCAAACCATTTGAATTAAATTCAAATGCTTTTGAGTTTAATCCTTGCAATCTTGCCCACTTCAATATTCTTGGACCATGCACCTTTTTTGCGAGTCCGGGAAAATAATCCGTGTGCCCAAATCCTTCCTCTAATCCTTTCTTTTCTCTCCTTTCTTTCTTTGCGGTTTTCTATTTTCTAAAAAGGTTTTTTTTCTTTAAAAGACTTAAGGGAGAAGAGAGACCCAGGCGTCTCTAGGCCCAATCCACCGCAGCGCAGGCCCATACCTTGTGGCCTGACCTAGATGGCCCGAGGCCCAGCCGCAGCCTCCCTCTCCTCTCGATCTCGCTCCCTTCCCCGTTTCCCTCTCTCGCCGCCAGGGACAGAGCACCCGTCGTCCCTCTCCTCGATCCCCCTCGTCCTCCTCCCGAGCGCCACCTTCGGCCAACCCCTTCTCCCTCTCATCCTCCCGATAGACACCGCAGTCTCCCTCATCCACTCCTCCTCAAGCGGCCCCGCTGGACCCGCACCCGGATCTCCTGCTCCCCGTTCGTCTTTCTCGCCGGGAGCCTGAGCTTCGCCTGGAGCCGCACGCCCGTCGCCCTTCTCCCCTCGTACCGGCGACCCGGAGCGCCGCGTCTCCGCCTCTGCCAGGTGCGTTGCGCCTGTCTTCGTTGCCCAACAGGAGCAGGAGCCCCCACGGTTGTCGCCGCCGTCCTGCCTACTCCGCTGGAGCCTCCTCTCCTCCCTGCGCCCTTCGCCAAGGCCGCCCATCCATGGCTGATGCACAGCCCCGACCTTCATCGCCGCCCGCTGGAGTAGGCCAGTGCCTCCGCCGTCGCCACCGGCGACCGCGCCACCCAGACCCTCGTGACCTCAAGTTCCTCGCCGTACAAGCTGCTCCGCTTTGCCGCCCTGCTCCGACCTGCAAGCTCCGCCGCCGCTCACCCTTGGTGCCATGGCCTCTGCCTCCTTTGGATGAACTGTTGCCGCCGTGCACAACTTCTGCCGTGCCCTATTGTGCGTGCTCTTCGCAGCCTGTCACTGTTGACGTCAAGACCGTGGGTGCCACGTTCCTCTTCCAGAGTCGTTAAAGTGCACGAGGACCTCGATGTACGACTACACCCGGTGATGCGACAAGCCCCGACGACGCGTCATGTTCATATACCGCTGTCTTCGGAACCGCTAAGAACGGCAAGTACCTCAACGCCTGATGCCTAGAATGACTACCGTCGCCGAAGACCCATGAACCAAAGACTTCAAGTTCAACTATGTCGCAAGAACGAGACCGGCGGGTCCGAAGACCCCATGTACCACGACAACCACGAAGAGATTCGAATTCGTCAAGTTCACCTTCGAAACGTGTACCCCTACACCGCAACGAAACGCCGAGTTCCTCTCCGAACGTGTGTGCCCCTACCGTCGACCCCGTGGATGTCAACTTCCTCGCCGCGACCCCGATCCTCTACGAAGTGTGTACGACTACGACCCGTGTACCACTACTTCCATGATGAAATGAGTACAACTACCGTCGACATGCTTTTCACCAAGTACCACTACCGGCGACCCCGAAGGGCTTGGAGTCATCAAGTACCTCTCCGATCGAACGTGAACCACTACTTCCCTCAACAAACTCAAACCGCTCCGTAAACGCACCTTTGGAAGGTATAACCACGAGACGACCGTCCGAGAACGATTGCTTGTGTTGTATGAGTTGCACCCTTTGTCTGCACCATGTTGTAGTGTCTCTCGCTTCCATGCCATCGACTCATGGGACACCCGGTATCCGGGAGTACCCCACCATCTTTTGCATGCATCCGCACATTTCTCCTTTGCATCGGTATCTCAATCGAGTTACAGGAACCGGAACGTTGCCGTGGCACCGTTTTCGTTATCGTTGCCGTGGCACCCCTTTTCTTTCCACCACGGTGACAAATGCTTCATAATACTCTTGTCAACGTTTTTATAAAATTGCATAAACTTGCACATGTCATCCGCATCATGATAATAACAATTAAAATGTTTAAAATTGTTGTTTGCATTAAATTGCTAAATGCATATGAGGATTTACCGGAATTGTTGTTTGTTTCGGCCTCATTTAAACTTGTTTAGATAGGGGTTTTACTTTTGCTTCTTCTCTTTCCATGTTTAACAATATTGTTGAGTACCTAAACGAGAGAGATCTAAATAATTGATGTGGTGTTCTGTCAATATGCAACCCGTTGCATATTGAGCTCCACTTAATTTGTAGTTTTGGTTGTTGCACTTTGCCATGCCATGCCTCATTAAACCGGACATGCATCATATTTGGTTGTGCATCATGCCATGTTTATGGGATAGTTGTTTACTATGTTGCCTGCTTCTTTCCGGGTTGCTTCTCTCGTTAGTTTCGGTTTCGTTCCGGAGTTGTGAGGATCCGTTCGACTTCGTCCGTTTGTCTTCTGCATGGACTCGTTCTTCTTCCTCGCGGGATCTCAGGCAAGCTGACCATACCCTCGAAATCATTTCTATCTTTGCTTGCTAGTTGCTCGCTCTATTGCTATGCCGCAATACCTACCACTTGCTATATCATGCCTCCCATTTTGCCATGCCAAGCCTCTAACCCACCTTTCCTAGCAAACTGTTGTTTGGCTATGTTACCGCTTTCCTCAGCCCCTCTTATAGCGTTGCTAGTTGCAGGTGAAGATGAGGTTTGTTCCTTGTTGGAACATGATTTATTGTTGGGATATCATTATTACATATATTGTTTACTTTAATGCATCTATATACTTGGTAAAGGGTGGAAGGCTTGGCCTTATGCCTGGTGTTTTGTTCCACTCTTGCCGCCCTAGTTTTCGTCATACCGGTGTTATGTTCCTTGATTTTGCGTTCCTTACGCGGTTGGGTTATAATGGGAACCCCTTGACAGTTCGCCTTGAATAAAACTCCTCCAGCAAGGCCCAACCTTGGTTTTACCATTTGCCACCTAAGCCTTTTTCCCTTGGGTTCTGCAGACTCAAGGGCCATCTTTATTTTAACCCTCGGGGCCAGTGCTCCTCTGAGTGTTGGTCCAAACTAGAGCACCGTGCAGGGCCATCCCTTGGCAACTTGGGTTACGTCGGCTCCTGTACGCTTAGCTTATCCGGTGTGCCCTGAGAACGAGATATGTGCAGCTCCTATCGGGATTTGTCGGCACATCGGGTGGTCTTGCTGGTCTTGTTTTACCATTGTCGAGATGTCTTGTAATCGGGATTCCGAGTCTGATCGGGTCTTCCTGGGAGAAGGAATATCCTTCGTTGACCGTGAGAGCTTGTGATGGGCTAAGTTGGGACACCCCTGCAGGGTTTGAACTTTCGAAAGCCATGCCCGCGGTTATGGGAAGATGGGAATTTGTTAATATTCGGTTGTAGAGAACTTGACGCTTAACTTAATTAAAATGCATCAACCGCGTGTGTAGCCGTGATGGTCTCTTTCCGGCGGAGTCCGGAAAGTGAACATGGTTCTTGTGTTATGCTTGAACGTAAATAGTTTCAGGATCACTTCTTGATCACTTTTAGTTCACGACCGTGCTTTGCTTCTCTTCTCGCTCTCATTTGCGTAAGTTAGCCACCATATATGCTAGTGCTTGCTGCAGCTCCACCTCCCTACCTCTTCCTACCCATAAGCTTAAATAGTCTTGATCTCGCGGGTGTGAGATTGCTGAGTCCCCGTGACTCACAGATTACTTCCAAAACCAGATGCAGGTGCCGATGATGCCAGTGCAGGTGACGCAACTGAGCTCAAGAGGGAGCTCGACGAAGATCTTGTTCGTTGTGTTGTTTAGTTTTTTTCTCTTTTGATCAGTAGTGGAGCCCAGTCGGGGTGATCGGGGATCTAGCACTAGGGGTGTCTTCCTTTTATTTTGGTTCCGTAGTCGGACCCTGTTTGTATTCTGGATGATGTAATGCTATATTTATGTATTGTGTGAAGTGGCGATTGTAAGCCAACTCTTTATCCCTTTCTTATTCAGTACATGGGATGTGTAAAGATTACCCCTCTTGCGACATGCCTACTATGCGGTTATGCCTCTAAGTCGTGCTCCAACACGTGGGAGATATAACCGCATCGTGGGTGTTACACACAAGTCATGCCAAAATTCATGGTAAATTTCGGCATGACCTTTGCTAAAAAAATGGACATATCGAGCGCCTGAAATTCACCGGAACGGAAATGAATCAACATTCCGGCGAAACATAGGCCACTCGGATTATTTACCTTGTACATAACCATCATTTTCCAAATCACACATGTGCAAATTCCAAATATCACATGTCCACATATCACATGTCCACTTCAAATTTGCATATAACAGGAAGAAAAATATAGAACTTGAAGAAAAATGTGTCGGCTCAGGAATTGCGGATGATCCCAATCACTTGGCCGTTTGGGGTCTAGGGGCTTGATATGGTTGGACCTTTCAAGAGGTCTAAGGATAAGAATACCCACCTTCTGGTGGTGGTTGACAAGTTCACTAAGTGGGTTGAGGCAGAGCCAGTCAGCAATTGTGAGGAGGCTACTGCAGTTCAATTTGTCAAGAAACTAATTTTCCGCTTTGGTTATCCTCATAGTATCATCACTGATAATGGGACGAATTTGTCTAAAGGTGCTATGAAAGAATTTTGTTAAAGGGAGCACATCAGGCTTGATGTTTCATCAGTTGCACATCCTCAGTCCAATGGTCAGGCAGAACGTGCTAACCAGGAGATCTTGAGAGGAATCAAACCCCAGCTCATGGTTCCTTTAAAGAGGACATCGGGTTGTTGGGTGGAAGAGCTTCCTTCGGTTCTTTGCAGCATCAAGACCACCCCCAACAGGTCAATGGGTTATACACCCTTCTTCATGGTTTATGGTGCTGAAGCAGTTCTCCCAAGTGATATTTGTCATGACTCACCCAGAGTGGTGGCTTATGTGGAGGCTGACAATGAGACGGCGTGTCAGAACGCTTTGGATGCTCTTGAGGAAGAGCGTGACCTTGTGGCGGCTCATTCAGCAATCTATCAGCAAGACCTACGCCCCTATCACAGCCGTAGGGTTCGAGGCCGGACTTTTCAGGAGGGCGACTTTGTGCTCCGTTTGATTCGAGATCAGATAGGGATGCATAAGCTTTCACCTCCTTGGGAGGGAACTTTTGTGGTTAGTAAAAACCTCAACAGCGGGTCATACTATCTCATCGACATACGTGAGAACAAGGATTCACGCACATCTGAGGAGACCCGCAGGCCCTGGAACATTGCTCATCTTCGGCCTTACTACACTTGAGCCACTAGCTCCCATCATTGTATATACTTTCATGATTGTACATATATTTTTATGATCAACATAATAAAGTCGGCATCCCCAAATTTGGGGGCCTCTGTCCTTCCATCTCATATTCTGTGCATGAGTCTTTATTGGTTGATCATAAGGTCACTTGGGGGCTTCCAACTCACTGAGTTTAGCTTTCATACCCTCTTGACCGGGTTTATATGCCATATATGGGTTAAACCTGCCTGTTTGCAACTTCCTACTCCACCAGGTGACCCATCGTACTCTTGACAGCCAATCTTTATAAGACCCTGAACTTGTCAAGGTTAAACCGACGGTTTTTTGTCACGTGAGAGCTGCCTTACAGAGAGCCAGGATAAACTCACATGTCTGCTGTTGTCTCCCCGCTATGTGGCCCGTTGTACTCTTAACAGTCAATCTTCTCGGAAGACCTTGAACTAGTTAAGGTTAAAACAACGGATTTGTGTCACGTGAGAGCTAGCTTACGGGACGAAAGGTGATCACGCCAAGCTTCTTTGAAG